TTTAAAGTACAATTTTATTACAAAATTATAAACAATAGTATTGTCTTTGGGATTCCCTAAACTAAATATATGGTGGGCCACTTTGCCTACAATATTTTATATTAACAGTTTATACTGTTATTTGATTTTGAAAAAGGAAATTATACTCATAATAACATATAAAAACAATTTCACAAGATAAATGCTCTAATCTCAGCATGAGCAAACAGGGGAATTCACAGTTGCTTTCACAGACTATTGTACCATCAATTGATGCAATTGAAGTAACTTGCATATCACCCTCACTTTGCTAGACTGGCTTTATCATTTGCTGGGAGCATTTCAATTCAGTCTTTTGCCAAAATCAACTGCTGCCCTTCCCTTGTATGTAGCACTGGTGGTGGTCATGCAGTTCATATAAAAATTCCAACTGCAGCTGCCGAAGTTGGTGGATAAACTGTTGATGCTGTCGGTGCTGCACATCATAAAAGTGTTCCATCTGCTGTATTTGTCCTAACTGTTGCTGCATGAGCCCTCTTAACTCTAGCTCTTGCTGTTCTTTTAGGACCATATGTTTTGCAAACTGCTCCAATAAACTGTTTTGACGTTTTGCAATTTCAGCAAGTCTTTCAAACCTTGCATTTTGTCCCTGAATGAAATCTCTTACTTGCTTTAGAATTTTTCTTTTGACTTCCTTTGAATTTTGCTCTTCTAAATGTTTCTCTGCACTCTGTTCTTTTAACAAAGATGTTACTGACTTTAGTGATGAAAGCTGACACACTGCCACAGAGTTAGCAAGCATCTGTGGAAATGATGACTGTAATTGTTGTGTTTTTGCAGCAACTTGAGGCAGTTTTGATAACCAAAGTAGATCGGAGGCAGAGATTGAAGGTTGAAGCACCATTGTTGGTTTTGAGTTTGAGTATTTTGTAAGTGAAAGGTTGGCTTCTGCTGGTACTCGACCATGTTTTAATGCATTTTTTTTACCCTTTCTTTTATGTACTTTTACCTCTTGGCTGTGTGCTACTGACACTGATGATGAAGGTTCTGTGCCATCAGAATCTGAAACAAAATTGTCCAAATAAAATTCACAATCAAAATAATATCATTCAATAAGAAGAAAACATATTCATACAGTATATGCACTTATTGAAAGAAATCTCTCTTCTCTTATCATACTAATACTGAAATTATTTAATCTACCAGCTTTGAGAAATGAGAACAGCCTAAATGAAAGCATACACTCTTTCTGCATAAACAACTGTATTGTCAATTTTCACATGTTCTTATAAGAGCCAATATACAGAATGAAAAGACATTATTACTCAAAATGCAAGACATCATTTAAGAATTAATTATCTTTTTATTTCTAGCAAAACATACCTGTAGGGAGTGAATTCACTACTGAAATGGGCTTCACGTCTGGTTTTCCTGCTACTTCCTCCAACATGTCCCAGAATTTCCAGATATCGTTTACTGTTGACACCTTTGTGCTATCACCTATATATCTTGGGAAAAATGAATACATATTAATAATTCATCTGACTATTCATATATAACTTCTTTTTTTTCACATTTAAATACAAAAATGGTGCATTTTGCTATTCATAGAAAAAAACATATATAAATAAATCTGATTTTAAAAAATCGCTGTATATTAACACAAATAACACATATCTAGATTAACAACTATAAAAAAAAAATCCAAGACTAAAAAAATTGTCATGAACCATTTGCTAACCATACAACTGAAACCAAAATAAATTAACTTTCATATCAATCAATTTCTGGACAAATGTAACCTTCTAAATGATAAAGAGAAAAGAATTTCATTTTTTAATTATTCTCTGATTCTATAATTTTTCTCATTCTGGTTACTTCTTCAATAATTTGTGTTGAATATACTACTTTTTATCAAAATGCAGGACCACTACAGACATTACTAGTATATACTAACAAAGCATAGCACAAAAAACAAATAATGATGTAAACAATGCATAAATAAAATACATAACTTAGTAAAAAATATATAAATAAGAAAAGGAAATATATATCACATCAAACATTGTGTCCTAAAAGCCACATAACAGTTTAGAGGAATATACTTATTACCTTTCTTTTAGACCTTGTAGATCTGCAGGGGGTATGACATCCTTGTACAAATAGCCCTCATTATGTAAAGCTTTTGCAGTTTTCACTATGGAAAGGACATCTTCATCTATCTGCATGGGATCTGATGCTGTAGAAAAATACACATAGATCATAATTATCTGTGTTTATGTGTACTATGTTGCCATATTTTAAAAAATATTTTTTTTCTTTAGGAAGCCTGTACTCACTACAGATAGTAGTGTCAACACAGACAAAAAAGGAGACAGAGAGAGAAGTACAGAAAGACAGAGATTGAGAAAAGAAAAGTGAAGTAGAGATAGAGCAGGGCAGAGACAAAATAGACAAAGTATATATACAACTAAGTTTCAGGGTTTTTTTCAGGAAGAATGTTTTCCTTCTTTGCAGATTC